CTAGCTTCGTCTTTGAAATTCTTCTGTTCCCCCCCCCTCTCGACTTTTTTCTCTTTGATGTTGCCCCTCCCCTTTGTAAAGCCTGAAGTCAACTAAAGGGCTAATGATAGCCATCAAAACGCCTGCCATTTGATATGAATAAATAAATAATTGAATGATTGTAAGAGAATTTAGTTGCGTAGGTATGAGCAAATGTAAGGCCATCAAAAGAGTTAGAAGGAGAGAGTATTGCCTGATGATAATTTATTTTTTCATGAAAAATTTTAATTTAAGAACCGATGTAAGGGTAGTGATAAGACCTTTTTGATTGTAAGGAGTTTTGACAATATTAAAGCTGTCTTAAATAAGTTAACTCAGGCCATAGCAAAATAAGTAACTCATGCCAATTTAATTTAAATCTCTTAAATTTATGGAAGCGAGTAATACTTCCTTGGTTGGTCAAAGGAATCTCATGTAAGGTGATTTCGCGAGCATGGATACCTCTCAATCAATCAGCAATCCATGGTCGTAGCAAAGTAACGTTAAGTAGCAGTAAGCTCTGAGATAAATATAAAAAAGGTTCAGTAAACACTATTCACTCCAAATATTCTATCTTCTCGATACTTAGCTTAGGTAATTAAGAGACAAATTTTAAATGAAATGCTTTAGTTTGCAGAGAAGATTGTTTAAGGCTTATTTAAAAAGTATCAGCAATAAATTATTTGTTTCAATTTAATACGCAACACCCAAAGCTTATAAAATCGTTACCTTTTCTAAGTGTATGTTTATGCAAATAATGCGGAAAAAGATAAAAAAAAACAGAAAAAAACTGCATGAATTCGTGAGCCTCATTAATCAAACTCTAAATCCAATCAGTAGGCTTGGAAATATTTCCATCTAAAACTAGTGGTCTTTCTAAGGCCTGATAGGATACACCCGTCTTCAATATATATAAATGAGTTGAAGGAACCAGATTGTTGTAGGCTAAGTAAAGTTGACTAATTTGAGTACATTTTTTTATCTTATGAGCAATTAATTAGAAAATTGTACTGTAGGTGTTAGGTGCGTCACCTTTAATAGATGAACAAATAGAGTTCACTTTTACAGATATCTCTCTTAAGCTAAAGGTTCAAATTTCTCGCTTATGTGCAGGTACTTTTGAAGGTCAAATTCTGGTAAGAGTATTTCATAGTATAAGTGCACCTTACTTTAACTTCCAAAATTGTGCACCTAATTCATAGCAAATTGAATTTTCAAGATTGTTTATATCAAATAATTCATAGATCGTGGCCTTCTTATTTGGGAAGAGCTACTATTAGCTGTTAAACCCTGTAGCATTATTAGTTTTGTAATGAGGAAGTTTTAGACACAATGACATTTCAATTCAACTATTGGGAAACGCTATCCCCAATTGGGTGTTTGATAGAATTTTAATCCACGTAGCAGTGATGAGGTTGAACTAATTGATGATGATTAAGTTTAACACCAAGGAATGTTAAACAAAAGCGCCCTCATTCAAACTCATGAATATTTTGTTCATAATTAAGTAGTAAAACGCTACAAACAATTATAAATGACATTGGATGGTTCTTCGCGGATTAAACAACAGTAGTTTCGAAAATACCATAAATGCTATGAAACCATGTATTGTAGAGTACTTGAGAGGGTGAAAAAATATTGATGGTAATAAAATTGTTCAAATATATAAAATTTTGTAGTTTTAAAGTGGAAAGTCGGCTTAATTGGAATAAATAGCACTCCACAATAGAAGTTTCTGGAGTTGATGAAGAGAAAAGATTGAAAATTTCAATCTTTTCTTTAATATGTCATGATCATCCAAAATAACCTCGTAGAGGATTGCTACACTAGTAAAGCATGACTGACTCAGAAATCTCTGTGGCAGATTCTCCTACATCTAGCTAGACTCCCAGAACTAGCTAAGCTATAGCCCAGCGATAGAGGAAACAGAAGTAAGCACGGAACACGTTTATTCAGTAAGTATCTTATGGGTAAAGTGTACATGCAGGGAGCTTAGTCATAATCAGCATGGCGGATTAGTTTAAACAAACGGAGGCCTCTGATTGGCCATTGGTTGTACGGTTGCTGCACACGATAACACAATCTTTCATCATGTTTAGCAGATGATCTCAAGATAGAAGTCGTTGCTCAAGCCTACTAAGTCAGTGTGCTCAACTAACGTTCTCTCGAAACTTATGCCTAGGAGTAGAGATTTGGGATTTTAATCAGTCAATTTACAATCCATAGGAAAGAGAGAAGTGTGCAATTTGAAGATTTTGATCTTTTAAAGTACTTAATAACTTGATTTATGCCTCCTTTCTCGAAGGACATCTTGAATAGGCAATAATGAAAGTGCTACACACAGCTGTTTTTTAACGTCAGTATTGTTAAGAATGGTAGCTACATCCATTTGCTCAAAGCATATGTGTGAGCATAGTCCAAACAACATCAGCATTTTTTACTCTAGATTAAGCCTTTGATTAGTTTGCGAAATCTTGTATTTCTCAAATACCTTTTGAATCTGATTAGAATTAAAATTCTCAAAAATCACATTAGTAAATGAATATGAGCAGGGTAAAAGTAAAGTTGCACAATGTGGAGAAACGTAATATCAATAAGGTGAGCAAAGAATTGTTTATTATATCAGATGGCGGGCTTTATGATAGTTATCATTAGCCCTTTAGCTGACTTCGGACTTCATAGAGAGGAGGAGGAACATCAAAATGGCAAAAAGTCGAGATTTCAAAGTCACAAAAAAGTAGAGGGGGGTGGGGAACAGTAGAGTGGTTCACAGATGTTAAAGAGACAGATACAAAGGTGGAGAAAAAGGTAAGATGAGTACTATGGAAGTGGTTGGGTCATGGTAGTTTGAAGTCAACCGCCGGTTTATGGACTTTATTGCTGTATGAGTATACGTTATCCATGGTGCACCACGTGGAGGCGATTATGCAGCTTAGTTATTAGTTATTGTTAGGAAGTGAGATATTAGTCAAGGTGATGTCAGGTAGATACAAAAGATAAGACTATGAAACATAGAATCTGAGTTGTTGAAAGCAGAAGACGTATTAGGTATATTTATAGGTTTACCATGTCAATTTCACCTGAAACAGTTATAATGAATTGTGCGGAATCTTGGTGTGACTATGATGGAAGTCAAAAAGGAAGGGATATCGTAACGAATTCAACTATTGATTGAATTGATTTTATACGTCACTTGACTATTTAAATTCACAAGTTCCCCATTCAACCATACTCAATTTCTTTATACTCTGACTGAACACACTAACGATTGCACTCAATTTTCCATTCATTGCCAAATGTGGGTTCTCCATTAAACCATAAATTCGAACTTCGTTTTTTGCAATTCACTGCATTTTGTCAGATAGTCAATCACTTTGTCTTTCAGTTAATTCGTTGACACTCTGCAGTTCGCATACCACTAAACAACAAAATTGCAGATGCTACATCCCACCATCGGCATATTCCAGAATGTTATAGTTATAATTTTGTCAAACAAAATGGAGATATGGATCAGGTGAATATCTTGATATCAACACTACTTAAAAAATGAGCTAACTTTAAGAGAGAATTAAGAAAGTTCTAGCCATTAAATTTGAGCCACAAATTGAAATGAAATGTTCTTTTTCAAACTGCTTTATATATATATATATATATATATATATATATAATTAAGGTACTTAAAATTGAACGCCTGTGGTCTATCACATATCTTAAATGAGTTGAGATTCGACATCGTGTCTGCTTTATTCGAGATGGCTAGGACAAACTGAACACGCACCTTAATTTTCTTGGCATTATTAACCCAGAGGAGTTTTAAGGTAAGAGAATTGCGAAACTTTCCATACCACCTATCTCTTCGTATATACCAATCTAGTAATCGTTTTCGTCCTATCAACTAATAAGGTCATTTTTTAGGTATTTCAGAGGCGCAATTAATCATTTCGTCTACCATCCACCCATCACTTAATCGAAAGTAGAAATTAGTTTATTGCTGTATTAAATTTTTCCCACGAATTTATTGATTATAATTACACTCAATTAAGTATTGACGGTGTTCTATAAATGGATAAATTGACGGTAATATGAAGGGGTAAAAACATGGAGAAGTCGTAATATAGGAAAATGCAAAATATTCAATGCCTACATTTAGAATTTGAAAACTAAGTAAACGGTTATAAAAGTGAATGGTAGGGCAGACAATAAGTAAGAACACGTTGTTGGAAGCATTGCTGAATGCGATGATAAATCCGGAGAAAACAGAACATCATGTGGAGGAAAAACATCCATTCCATCGAAACCTCAAAATGTTTTCATTTAGACTCTGAGAGTTATTGAGAAGAAAGGCGCAATTTGGCGATTGAAGAGGAAGTTGTCTCGGGAAATGAGAATTCATCCACTTAGTTCAATTTTACTGATAACAGATCTGAGCTTACCACGCACATTTTGAACCATCTTCAATCCCATTGCTAAATTCTACTTGCGCCTGTTATAATCTCAACTTCAATGAGTTAGGTAGAGCAGGTGTAAAGTAGGTTGATTGTCTTCCCTTCTGCTCTATGAATTATTCACATAAATTGTTCAAAATGGATTAATTAATTAAATTTAGGGAATAAAGGAATAATTGTTTGCCCTGGTTTGGTTAATAATAATGCAACAAGTACATTAAAAGTGCAAATGACGAAATATGCAAACATTTCAGGCACTTAGAATTTTATAAGTTTTTTTCTCACTTTATTATAGATAAGAGAATAAAAGCATCAAAGAAATCGTGTTCTAGTGGTGTAAAATTTCCTTTCAAATGAACTTTCTAATTTTGACCTATACGCCTTGGGCTACAAGAGTACTATTCAAATTCCCCTTTTTATGATTGGATAATTGATGCATTTAAAGAACACCTTCTAGTTGAATTGTTATGCACACAAGGTCATCTTGCTGTAGAAGTGTTTAAAATCAATGAATACAAACTTTCATATACTTCCATAATGAAGCCGTATTCTCCTGAGATTGATAAAATATTCAGTGGCTGCATGGAATTTTCGCGACATGATGAATCCTATGATTCAGGCGATTCAGAAGTTGAAAACGCCAGCCTTGGCCCACGGATGCACAAATATCTAACTATTTTGCCCCAAGATGCACCCTTCAAAGTCCCACTTAAACAGATAAACGGGTCTGTTTCAGCACAAACAAATTTCCATCACCAACAATTTACTTATGGTATGATAGATGATCATTACAATGCTCCTACCCCACTGGTACCAAAGTATGGTTATGAACAAAGGATGACAGCCCCTGGAATGGAAGATCAGAATCCCCATCAAGACAGTTTTCCCCTCTTTTACTCAGCTCCAATGCCCTCCCAAGATCACAATGGTCCCTTTCGCATGTTTGGCCTGATGGAACGACCACAACCATCCGGTTTAGTAACTCCACCACCACCGGAACCAAAGCAAGGCAATGATTCATCGATGATGGGTTTTCGAAGGGGCGAGAACTCTCCTCCATTCCAAATAACTCCAATGGCTCAACATGAAGCGAATAGCCCAATGCTAATTTCCGCCCCAGAATGGGTTTATTTTGTGGATGTTTCACCAACACCACAGAATGAACCGGGCAATAATAGCGGTGAGAAAAGGAAAAACACTCCATACTTTGGAAATTATCGATTTTATTGAATGTACGTAGTATAAGTAGCAAAATAAGTTTTATAATATATACATATGTCTATATAAACATTTAATTAAAATTTATTGCATTATATGGCTCTGGGAGGCAAATTCAGTTAGCTCTTACTAGGCCAACTCAGACCTTATATTACCTCCCTCTTGTAAATATAATAGAAGGAAGGTTGTAAATTTTGAAGTTATCGATTGCCAGTTGTTACGAGAGGTACAAGATTATGCACTTTTAGCAGCTGGAGTGCGTCAGATAAAGTGCACAAAAAAGATAACCATTTTGCCAGTGAGAATATAAGGTAAGATTGAAGAGAAGGCATGGAAATACATTTCATTAACATTTATTTATTTATATCAAACGGCAGGCGTCTTGATGGTTATCATTAGCCCTTTAGTTGACTCCAGGCTTCACAGAGGGGAAGGAACATCAAATTGAAAAAAGTCGAGAGGGGGGGGGGACAGAAGAGTGTTTCAAAGATGTAAGAGAGGTGAGGTGAGTACTGTGGTAGGGGTCGAATATGACATACAGTGGGGTGATAGTAGTTTGAAGTGAGAAGTCAATTGCCGGTTAATAGACTTTTTGCCGTATGAGTATACGTTGCACAGGGTGCACCACGAGGAGGTAAGTCTATCGCACACCACATTTCATTAACATTAAGGCCGAGAATTGACCAAGTCAACAACCACATATTTTAATTGACACAAACAGAATAATTAAGTAGTAAAAATCTTAGGCGTCATGGACATTGAAAGTAGCAGAGACGTATAGATTAGAGAGAAAAGTGACATAGAATAGAATGGTGACTCCATATCAAGAAATAAATACGACTTATTATATAATAGTAGGATAAAGGATTTAGCAAAGAGTGCTAATAAAATGGCTCAAAGCAGGTGTGAAAAGAAAGGGTATTATTGTCTCCTCGTCAACACTTTACTCAATATGGCCCTATATTTAGTGATTAGGGGTATGCCATAGACTTACCTCCACGTAGTGCACCCTAGGAAACGTATACTCATACGGCAAAAAGTCTGTAAACTGGCAGTTGACTTCTGACTTCAAACCATAGTGACCTGACTCTATGCCATATTCGACCACTTCCACAGTACTCCTCTTACCTTTTCTCTGCTTTTGTGTCTGTCTGTCTCTTTTCCATCTGTGAATCACTCTTCCGTTCCCCCTCTCGACTTTATGCGACTTTGTTGTTCCTCCTCCTCTCTGTGAACCCCGAAGTCAACTAAACGTTTGTCATTTGAAATAAATAAATATTTAGTGATTATGTCATTCATTCCTGCAACAAAATAGCTGAGCTTTAATCCAATTTACGGACAAATGGATTAGGGTGGTTGTGGAAGGTTAGGTCTAAATGCAAGCCAACCAGTTCCATTTTACATCAAGTAGGTAAGCAAGATAGTTGTAGGATTAATTGCATTTGTTTATCACATAATGTGGCTGTATTTTGGTGAGTCTGTTTATAATGGGTTAAGCAAACAAATAGTTAAAAGTGGTGGATTTTTGTGACGTGGACTCTTGAATGTAAAGCAGGATTCTAAACACTAATCAATGAGGATAACCTCCTCAAAAAAGAGTAGGTGAAATGATTTCAGGGTCATTTTAGGTTCAACAGCTTAATAGAAAGACCACCCATGTATATTTTATTCTCAGTAAGGGAGAAGGAACATTGATAAGTCCTCTTATCTATCTCCACTATTTTTTGGGGGAAGTGCTACTTTATAGCCTAAGGGGTATTTAAATATTGGTAATTGACCGAAAGTCGTTAAATTACCTCTAATACGTGGAAAAAGCAAAAACCCTTTTCTCTAGTGGCTTTTGTTATCTATTACAGAACAACTTAGAACTCTAGTTGTCAATAGTTTTTAAACAAGATAGATATTTGATAGGAGAAATCAATGAAAAGTTCAATTTCAAAATGTAGATGACCAGAATTTTACAAGCATTACATTTGCTAAAATAAGTCAGATGGCAGTAAGCACAGGATGGCAAAGAATTCCATAGTTTTAATTATATGTCCGTTTCTGACTGTGTGAATTATAGCCTTAAAACGAATGATTATTTCAAAAGATATATTATCTCTTGTTTCTGCAAAAGATATTTAAATTACAATTTGGCTTACATGCAGGTCATTTCAGAATTTTACACAGCACATTCCTTTAGAAGCTCATCTGAGAGTCAGCCTTAATTTTCTCAGTAGACTTTCACATTAACATCTGGTTTGATGACATTTAACATACATGCTATTTTCATTTTAACCTACGAATTGCCCATATTTTCACATACAATTTCGTTATAAATGTATGAAAAAATCAGCTGTACTTACGGTCCTCTATAATTTTATAAACTATAAGATGGTGAGCAATTATGAAACTAATCCAAAATATGTATTGTAATTATCAGCCAGATACTACCCTAAAGGGCGTTATTGAAGTAACTTCGGATAGTACTATGCTTTGCAAGGATAAATTGTCTATAAATCATAACAAAATTTGAAAGGATAACTGATAATAAATAACTGCCACGAAACTCATTTTCAATAATTAACTTCATCCGAGCCACTAATCCCCAGAAACCATCAGTGATCTTAAACTTTATCTATTTGGAATTTTTTAAGCGATGTTTGCTTGAATGCAACAGAAAAGAGGTCTAAAATTACGATATAAGGTTCCTTATAAATATTAAGAAAGTTTAGGAAATTATTACACATAACCAAGTTGATTAGAGTATGACAAAATGACATAGAATTACATAATTTATGACTAGGTTTATCATTTCAGGATCTTCGTGAAAATAGTAAAAATGCATCGTTTGCCAATAAGATTTCAACAATAAACTTCTTTACATAAAGGTCATTTGCCAACCCTGGCGGAGGGCTTGACTTGCCTCGCTTTTCACATTGGCTAATCGCAATGGTTGATCCTGCAATGGATATCTGGATTCAAAAGCCTAATGTTATCCACAAATTGATTTTCGGCTCCCGTATTAAGTATCTTTCGGAAAATTTAATTAAACGAGTGATTTATCCCAAATTGTATGTCGGCGTCGAACCGTTCGAAGAGACGATAACAATAACAAGAACAGGTTTGGAGATTTTATTCAAATAAATCTTAGATAGTGTTCATTACAGCTTTTACTCTGAGTTTTACGCCTACAGTGTCATAAAATCTGAGTAAGTCTATGTGCTTTGAATTATTTTCCAGTTTATTCGCTATCGCCCCTGGAGTTAAAACCACTTCCAAACTCATCGATGAGGAATGGTTAATAAGTGTCCTCGTTTTAAAATTAAATACTTGGTTGAAACGGAAAATAAATAATGGTCCTCCCTCTCTCGTGCTGGTGAACTTAGAAGAATATCAACGTTGTTATGATGAGCTTAAAAACCGTTATGCCAAGAGTATAGCCTCGGTATGTAATTAATCAGTTTCTTATTTCCTTCTTAGTTTTGGTGCATGGGAACTGACCCAATCAAATTTATTCACGAAGATCTTGGAATAGCCGCTTATCTATTAGTAATTTTTTTATTTTTAACTATCATTTCCTAGTGTCTATGGCGAAATGATACCATTAAAAAGCCACGATTCGTAGACATTGGGTGTGGAAATGGATTACTGGTTTATATTCTAAATTCAGAAGAGGTGAGATTAGGTCTTGTTATTCTTCTCACGATATTTTTAGTTTGAGGGCACTGGAGTTGATATCCGCAAACGGAATATATGGGACTCGTATCCTGATAAAGTGAGGCGAAATCTGATTGAAATGACAGTTGATCCTCAAGTTCATCCAGGTTTCCCTGAGGCCGATTGGCTAATTGGTAACCATAGCGACGAATTAACTCCCTGGTTGCCTATTCTTGCTGCTCGGTCAAATCCTCATTGTCGAGTCTTCGTTATTCCCTGCTGTGCTTTCAGTCTTTTTCATAAATTTGACTTAGGAAAGCACAGAATCCCTACAGACTCTGCGGGAAGTGTTTGGCAAGGCCGTTTCGGGGGCTACTTATCCTATCTTATGGAGCATTTTAAATCGTGCGGCTTCATTCCGGAACTGGATATACTGAGAATTCCTTCCACTAAACGAGTAAGTTGCTATTTTTAATTGAAATTCACACACTCAATATTATTAATGCAGTATTGCTTATAATTTTGAATAAATGTGTAGTGATGGAAGTTATATTCCTTCTAATTATTTTGGTAAGACCAAATCATCGATTCAGTTAGGAACCCTTGTCATTTTATAAAAAATATTTACAATGGGTAAATATTGGGATAATAGGATCCCAGTTTATTGTTTACTCCCCCATTTTAGTTATTTTCTTGCGATTAAATATGTCTTGACTCACAATTATGTCTCTTATGTTAGATTGATTAATGAATATACCTCTCTAGTTAAAGCCGTGAATTTGTTACTAATCGTTCCACGATTTGACCAACCATCAAAAGTGAAGTATCAGTTAGTGGCCTCCTACTTAAACAAATTACAAACTTCAGCCATCTTTTCATAACCCAACATAAGTAGTTACTATTGGCTAGGGGTTGAATCCGGGTACTAAAAAAATTTGCTTCTTGTTTAAGTGCTATTATTATATCTACTTACCTAAAGACGTCTTTGTATAAGTTTTGATTTAAAAAATACACATGGTTATGGTTAGTCAGTATTGACCCTTGTTCATTCTTTAATTACATTTGAATGATAATAAAACGTTTTCTATAAATAGCCTATGTGTTTCCCAGTTTTGTATAGTTGGAAGAAACTTCCCCTTAAATGATTCATCGACTCGTGTTGAGAAGGTCAATTCTGTCATACAGTCTGAAAATCCCCTTAAATCCGCCTTCACGCCAAGAAAAGAGGATTCAGGCAAAGCTCCTTCATCTCTTTCTATGGAAGATAGGGTTAAAATTGGGGCAAATATTTTCTCAAAGGTCCTCGAACTTGGTTCTACCAAGGAAAAGATTCTTACTGTTGACGGACGTCTGTGGAATTCTGGTGGTTGTTTAAGTATCAAAGAAGCCTGCGAACGGCTTGATCCTGAAGTTGTGGCGAAATTAAAGCTAATTCGAGGTGGATTACAAACTGTCCTTCGGAATCAACACCAGACCTTTATGGGTAAGTACTGTCGTCCATCATTTGTTACTTACTTCTTACTCAGTAGTTAAAATTTTGATATTTATATTCTGAATGTAGTGACTGGTGAAGGAATACGGCTGCGTTACGAACCGGAAGGGTTGAAAGCAAATGGTAACAAGAACAGACCATGGAAAAAAACGCCATGTTGGATGGAATCCAATCACCCAGATGGTTGTCCTTATCCTGCCTCGCTGTGCCGCTTCGCCCATCGAATGGAATAGATTATGCTGTCTTAAATGGCTACCTTTGGTTGGCTGTGATGTGAAGTAAACTTTCTTTACGAAAATAAATTCTATTGGGAATCTTTTACTACTTACTACTTACTGTATTTGAAGCAATTCATTTTCATAAACCGTGGATACAATTAATTGACATAGTCAAGAGGTTCATATATTTGGTGGTAGGATCATCTTTGGTGAGCAAATTGGTGATTAAACTTCTGAAGTCACTTTAATTTTTCTTCATCATAACCAGCAAGTCCTGCTTTGTGTATATTTTTATGGCTTTCCTTGATATAAGTTTTCAGGTTGTTAGTTAACTAACCAGCAGATTGAGAATGCGAGTTTTATTACGTCATTTTGATGCATTTTCTCGTCAGGTAGGTAAGACACATTTACCTTTATAGAGTTTACTCAAGGTTAATTTTACCCGCATCGCCACTACAACTCTATTTTTTTAATGGATATTATATCTTAGTGGTTTTATTAGGGTTCTACTTACCCCAACGTCTAAAATTCCATACTTATGCGAAAATGCTCACTTTAATATGTGGAAGTCCAAAATTACTAGCTTCAACTTACTGATTGATATTATATTCGGTACTGGGTGTGTGCGATAGACTTACCTCCACGTGGTACACCCTGGACAACGTATACTCATACGGTAAAAAAGTCTATTAATCGGCAGTTGACTTCTCACTTCAAACTACCATCACCTCACTGTATGTTATCTTCGACTACCTCCACAGTACTCACCTCACCTTTTTTTCTACCTCTGTATTTGAAGCACTTCTGTTTCCCCCTCCCCTCTCGAATTTTTTGCACTTTGATATTCCTCCTCCTCTCTGTGAAGTCTGAAGTCAAATAAAGGGCTAATGATAACCTTCAAGACGCCTGCCATTTGATATAATTAAATAAATATCTGGTACTGATTTGATGTTCATTTCAACTTGAAATATCATA